TATATCTATTACCTTTTCCATCCACCTTCCATTTTACCGCATCCTACTCCATTGACTAAGATTAACAAAAGTTGATATTTACTGAGCCTGTACTATATGCCAGGATATTTTAAGTGCTGTAACCCTCACAGTATTATTACTATTCAAATTATATAAATGAGGCAACCTGAGGCACTGAGAAATTAAGGAATTTCCCCACAGTCACCTGCATGGTATGTGGTGGAGCCAGTGTACAATCTAGGCAGAGCTAAGGCTCCTAGCAACCACACAAGTTTCTTTCCCAGAGAGAGAAAGAGAGAGAGAGATTAGATGATGCCCCTCTCTCTTTCATCCACTGCCTATGATGGGTTTAGTTCTCCAGTGCCCTACTCTCTCATCTACCTCCCCATCCACCCAACCTTCAACCTTCCATCCAGTCTTCAGAGGAAGGGAAGTGACTCTTCCTTCACACAACACCTGGTGACTCCAATTAAGATAACCTCTGTCTGGCCATGTGGTCTTTTGTTTCCTTATTCTAGATGGTGAAACTTCTTTCCAAATAGCTCGTTCAGCAATTCCACCTTGACGAAAGAAATCACAAGTTTTGGAAAGAAGCAGATTACAAATTCAGTCTTTTAACAATTACCCTAGGCAGCACAGTGTGACAGAAAGTCAACATACATCTCTTGTGTTTGTTTGAAATTTATTTTGATGAGGAGGAATTTTCTCTTAGCTGAGATTCCTCTAAATTTCCTCCCTAGCCTCCAGAATAATATCTCCAGGTTATTCCTCTAGCCTTCTTCCACCCTCAGCAGTCTGTCCAAATTTTCACTACTTCTTCCCCTAAATAGAAAAAAAAAAATGTCCCTTTGACTTCTTCCTCACCCTCCCTCATCAAACTCCACCTTTCAGTCATGCTTGGGTGCCCCTGATCTCCTCTCTAAACCTCTTTCACCTCATTTCTCTTTTTCTCTCATTACAGATTCATCTCTGCTGCTCTCTGCCTCCCACTGCCATGTGACAAATCCCTTTTAAAATAGCTCTGGTGACTCACCCGGCGGATACTGTATTCCATTTATATGTACCTTTTCTATTCCCCAAGGGGCATAAAGAGTTTCACAGAAATTCAGGCTTATTTTTACCTCGGTCTTGTAGAAGAATTGTCTGTAAGAAAGGAATGAAAATATAGTTTGGGCTTTTGTCGGAATAACGTGACTATTAAGGCTGATAACCAGGTTTTCACTTTTCCAGGATTTTTCTTCTCCTCACCTCCCTCTCCCTTGTGCTTGTTATTTCCTTCAGGATTTATTAGTAGCCTCACCAGAAGTTAGACTTTAGTCTTGCCAAGTAGTTGTGCTGTTTCTGAACCGGTCACCCATGCTAGAACCCTCAGAGCTGGTTCCAGGCCTCTAGTTGGTTCATGCTCATTGACCAGTGGGTAACCAGGGGATCCAGCACTATTTGGGATCCTCACCTCTATTTCCACTGCCACGACCTGACTCAGGCCAGCATCTCCTCCAACCTGCACCAAGGCAGTGATTGCCTAATGGCCCCCACTACCCTCAACCATTTTCGTCCAAATTATTATTCTCTGTCCCTCATCTGAGCCTGCTGCAACCTGGGTCCCTCTGTCTAGATCCTATCCTTTGTCATGGAACTCAGGACTTCTTAGTCTGGCTTCAAACTACCTTTCCTCTATAAACCTCTATAAACCTGAGCTCTGTAACTCACGCATCTTGGAAACAAGCAGCTTCCCCACACATGCCTCAATTTCCGTGCCTCTGTGCTTTCGTTCATTTGGCCTTTCTGGCAGGAGTGCCTACCCTTGCCTTCTCCTGGCAAGCTCTTTCTCAGGTTCAAAGACACCTCTTTGGCAAAGCTTTTCCTAACTTCCCCAGAGTGGACTTAAATACACAGAAGACTGTATTCCTATAGCTTTTTATGATAACTGTTAGAGAAGAGATATGTATAAGATAGTATAAATCACAAAAATGTATTGGAAGGCTATGATGTCCCAGGCACAAGTACACAGACATCAAATTCATAGTCCTTAACCTACTTCTAAGTAAGACAGAAAATAAAGTCAAATAAAATGGTATTTCAGGGTGATATAGGTAGTAATAGAGATGCGCCCATGGGCTGAGCAGGCACATAGGGGTGATGGGGCTCATCTAGGCTGGTGACATTAGGAAGGTCTCCAAGGGAAGTCACACCATGAGCTGGGCCATTTGAAACATCCAAATGGGAATGGCTTTGATGACTGTCACGAGCTTCAGGACAGCAGGCTAGATCCTGTGCCCATGTGCTCTGCGGGTGCTCAACAGATATTCAGGACATTGAACACATTACAAAAGGTTTGGTCTGTGGATCTCTGAAACTCCATTGATACAACCCAGCCTCGTTCTTCCTCTGGATGGTTGGCTCCAATTGTGTTCTCACAGATCCAACCTTAGCTTAGCCAATGAATAATGAAAGTAACAAAGTGATTTCCAAGAATACTATTTTCTCCTATCCAAGTCCTGGCTCTCTACAGCCAAGGAAACTGGTGAAAGGAGTCACTGGCCCAAGGTGTTTGGCATGCACAGCTGAGCCACACTGTGAGTCGCACAGTTATGCACAACTAATGTGCTCCCTGGCTAAGCAGTAAAGGCTCATGAAGTAAAGGTAAAAGGTGTTGCACCATGCCAGGCCAAGTTCAGAAGTCACAAGTTCCAGAGACCCCTCTCAATTGGCTTCCTGACTCCTATCTTGTTCTCTACGTTCCATCTTCCACCTGGTAGCTCAAGTCATTTCCCACAGCCTTTAAAATGTAGTACATGCTCTTTGGTCTGGCAGACAAGGCCCTTCATAATATCTGCTCTGCCTCCCTGATATCACCTTTTGTACCCACTTCCTAACCCCCGCACAGTCCGTTGGTCATATTAAACTACTCACATTTCCTTAATTCATCAGGATTTCTCTTACCTGCAGGCCTTTGCCTGAGCTGCTTGTTTTCTTTGCCTAGAATGCACTGAAACCTTCAACATAACTCTAAATCATCCTTCTGGTCTCAAGATAGAGGCTATTTTCAAAGGGAAGCTCATCCCTACCCTCCCTTCATGCTAAGATCTGGATAGGTTTGCTCCTGTGTGTTCAAAACTCACACCCTCTGCTTTCTCCATCATCCCACATATTACACTGCATTGAAATTGTTTGCTTACTTGTGTGTCCCCCCAATGTAAACTCCCAGAGGGTAAACACCTGAAGGTTTCCCCATTGCATTCCAGTGCCCAATCAAGCATCTGGAATGCATTAGGCATGCAATGCACTAGGCATGTATTGGTGGAGTGAGTTCCTGGGGAAGGGAAACAAGAAAGATTTTCCCAGAATGTGAGGTCTGAGAAAGCAGGGACTTTGTCCTGTTCACTCTGCTGTGTCTTCAGTTTCCGGCATATAATAAACCCTCAGTAAACATTTATTGAATGAATGAATGAATGAATGAAATCTGTAGGTTAAATAAGGATAACCCCTGAATCATCTCTTTACATATGGTTTCATCCTAAGGGAATTGTCTTCTGAAGTGAAGAAGACAGCATGACACAGTTGTCAACACCCGGAAGCTTCCATGAGTTCAGATCTAAACTCTACCCCTCACAGACCAAAGGACCTTCAGAAAGTTAACTAACCTTTTTATGCCTCAGTTGTTTTGTCTTTAATCGAGGTCTGTTGTGTGATTAAGTGAGCTAATATTTGTAATCAAGAAAATAGCTATGGTTATATATTTTAACAACTATTTATTATTTTTTTTAAAAAAAGAACAGTCTTATAAAATGAAAAGTCAAGCACTGCCCATATTCTTCCACACATCCTATTATTATTATCCCAAATAAATCCTTAGGGCCTGGGAGACATTTGGGAGACAAACCATTCCATTCATCTTTTGTGACTTTGTTATTTTTCAGCCCTCATAAAGCAGGTTATCTGTTCTTATTAAGGGATTGCTTTCTCTAAGACCGTGTCTGAAGTTTATTTTAGACAAACAGCAATGAACATGGATAGGTGACCACATCATTTGCTAGGAGGCAACTTTTTAGTAGTTTCCACTCTGATTCACTAGTTGTATGACTACAAGTAAGAAAATTTGAGCAACTTGCCTTTTTCTACCCTCTGGAAATTCTTGATATTGCTAAATGTCCCCATAGGACTAAACAACAGCCAATACTTTTCACTTAAAACTATCAAGACAAGGTCAGGTCTTCCTATTTAGAGTCTGACAGAACAGAATGTATACATCATCACCTACTTGGTTAGTAAAACCCTAAGCATGAAACAAATCAGCAATTTAATTAGCATACAAGAGAGCATGAATCTGGGGTGTTGAGTGACCAGACGAACATTTAATTAAAAGTTTAGTGCAAATTGTGATCACATGAAGAAATGCTGCATAGGTCAGCATTTGGAGCATTAAAAGCTTATTCACAGTAAAGTATAACATGTATGATAACTACAGTAATGGCAAGTACAGAAATCCTAATAAGGTAGGGAGATTATTCTCCAATTCAAAAGGTGTTTATTTTTACTTGAATAAAGTTTCTTTATACCAAAATTCTAATTTTTGCTAATAGGACAAAAAAAGGGACAAGTTGTGTCATTTTATTCCTTTAATAGGAAACCAAAATAAAACACAAAGAGGTGAAAAAACAATTGAGTGAAGCAAATTTTTGAGTAGTGAACCCTCAGAATGGGAACCCAGTGAAGACTGGATTATTTTCTCCCATATTCTATAAATAGAATTCTATTATAGAGACAAGTTACAATAATCTCGAATTGTTGCCATTGTCACAGCTGTAACTTGTGACTCATGTGTAAAGAACCATTATAAGCTGGACTCTAAGAGTGATTGTTACAGCTTTCACCTCTGATAAACACTAGCCAGAATCTCTTCCATCACGGTTACCATCAAAGAGATGTACAAGTAGGACAGAAATCAAACACAAATGATATACTACCTTTCTCTACATACAATGAATAGACTAGGGAACTATTCTTAATAATAAATAATTTATTAATTAGAACATATAAGTGAATACAGAAGACATTTAAAAGTAAAAATACAAAGGAATAATTTTATTCATGCAGTACTTTCATAAAAGGTGAGTATAAACTCAGTCCATGCGTGTGTGAAGTGAAATGAGCTTGCTGGCTGGAGAGGGACAGGGTGCCAGAGGCTACTACCCAGTCAGGGTCACAGCTGTATTGGTCGATTGCTGGGTTCCTGTTGGCTTGGTCTGGATCATGTTATTTCTGGTGTTGGATTTCCTGTCCATGCTCTTGACCACGTCTTTCACCCACCTGGCTTGTGGATCAGCACAGACTTTTAGGCCACGTTTGGTAATAAAACTGTAATGCAAGGAAAACACAGACGAATTTAGCCACATTCTCAAAGCCTTGGGGTCAAGAGTTAAGATCAGAGCAGACTTGAAGAGATCTTGTGCAGAAATTACTGCAAGAAATAGTCTTTCAGAGCCATGAGATCAAAAATGGGCACCCGTCTTCTGTCATCTATTTTAACATAAAGGAGAAATATCTGCAAGTAGTATCCAGCCCCTTTGTTCACCACAATTCACAGGTTCCTTTTCTCATCCATGTCACCAAATGTTGTAACAAAAAGACATCTGAGGCCATCTAGTTCCATTATTACATACCCTCTTCCTTTTCAAATTTAAAAGTACTCATCTTATATTTTTAATAAAAGCTGATTTTTACGTTTTCATTTTTTAGAGTAAAGCTTGCAATTATGTGTTGGGAAGAGTTATTACTTCTAAAAATGAGATTCTGGTAGAAGAAGGGGACCATGTAGTTTGTGCATTGACTCATTTCATTGAAATATGGCAACTGATAATCAAGGGACTCTGCCTAACTCAATCCTAAGAACCCCCAACTCCAGTGAGGCTTGCAGGGAAACCCTGACATGGGTCAGCCATCTTTAAACCCAGACCTCAGAGCTATGCACAGTATTCAACAGACTCTTCCACTAAGCTAAATAGAGGAGGACTTGTATTCTTTATTTGGCAGCCAAATTTTTGCAATAATCTCCATTCAGTTGGGCTGCATAAAGACGTGATTGACAAGGAAAAATAAAGAGCTTGTCAGTTAAGCTGAGCTGTTCCTCCATGTTGACCTACTTTTCCTGAGGAAGGCAGCATTTCTGTATACTCTACTTCTATACCTCTAGATATCCACCCAGCCCAGCTTCTGTGGAGACAAACTCACATTACTGCTTTCAAGGAGCTTGATTCTGTTGACTGGCAGTCGCTGGGTAGTGAGGCTCACACAGGTACTCTTATCTGAGACTTCACTCCCTACACCTGGTGAGAAAAAAAAAAAACATACAATGAAAAATTAAGCTATTATCAAAATCATAGGAACAATCACCTGTTAAATTACTCTAAGAATGTTGTGAGAATATAAGACCATTTGCTTTTTGGGGGAAGAGATGACTGACAGGCATCCTGAATCTCTTGCCCATCATAGATTCTTAGTAAATATTTGACTAATTTAAAACCTCAATCAATAGAATTGTTTCAGGAATTTCATGCTGAGACAAAAACAAGATGTTTTCCCATCTCTATGTATATTTTCACTTAGACATTTGGGACGGCTAGTAAATGTCCCAGTGACACTCATTCATTCATTTATACAACAGTGCCTGTTGTGTCCCACATGTTTTATTAAGACAGACGTTTTGTCCCTGTTTTCATAGAGCATTTCTTCTAATGAGGGAGCCAGGCAACAGACAGGTAAACAGAAAAGATCATTTCAAATAGTGCAACATGTTACAGTACTATAAGTGAGATTACAGAGTAATGTGTGAAGAGTACTGTAGGCAAGGTAACATTCAGTGGGGGAAGGCTATCCTCCACAAGCTGCTGAAAGTACCTTCTGCCATTAACCAGTTCACCCAGTCCTTAGACCCCCAAACAGAGACAAAGCAAGAGACAAAGCAAGAGAAGAAGCAGAGACTGTTGGCCCAGGCTGAGAAGAAACCTGCTGGCAAAGGAGGTGTCCCCACTAGGAAATCACCTGTTCTTAGAGCAGGGGTTAACACCATCACCACCTTGCTGGAAAACAAGAAGGCTCAGCTGGTAGTGATTGCACCTGGTGTGGACCCCATCAAGCTGGTTATCTTTCTGCCTGTCCTGTGTCCTAAAAGGGGTCCCTTACTGCATTATCAAGGGGAAGTAAGGCAAGACTGGGACATCCAGTCCACAGGAAGCACACTGTCGCCTTCACACAGGTTAACCAGGAAAACAAAGGAGCTTTGGCTAAGCTGGTGGAAGCTATCAGGACCAATTACAATGATGGATATGACGAGATCTGCAATGTCCTGAGTCCAAAATCTGTGGCTTGCATTGCCAAGCTGGAAATAGGAAAGGCTGAGGAACTTGCCACTAAACTGGGTTAAATGTACACTTTTGAGTTTTCTGTACATAAAAATTATTTTCTGTACATAAAAATAATAAACACTTCAAAAAAATTAATAAACGGTAAAAGGTGAGATATATGTACATGGAAGTCAGCCTTAAAATATTCATCCCCAATAGTAATGGCCTAAGGGAATTAAACTATTGAGTTTAGAGAGCATCTAACATTGCAAAAGGAAAAATAACTTGGGAGAATTAATACTGTTAAGGGTTGGGTAAAATCTAATCAAAGTTTCTAAGTGCTGATTTTCTCCTTAACTGTAGACACTGGTCTTTGCTTCCCAGAGAAATAGGCAGCTAAAAAGCATCTAAAGTAACCACTGATAATGATCAAGTTTGGTCTGTAGTGTTGCTAATATCAGAAGGCATTTTTTAAAGCATGGAACTAAACAAAGAGTGTTCACAGTGTGCTTTTCTTCATCATTCCTTCTCCTCTCCTCCACTCTCAGTGCCAGTCTGCACATTCCTACCCTCTACCTTTGCCAATATATTTTTAATGCTGAATTGTTTCTGCAACCAATGAAAGAGGAAAAATCTGGGCTTTTTCTCTGTTTCTCTCATATTTAAGAAACAATATTTCTCTCTGTGAAGTATCTGAAATGGACTCCCAAGACTCAGGGAATCCTGTTATACTTGAAACCACAAAGCCTTTTCCTTATTCTCAGCAATGTTTGTGTGTCTGTGTTATTCTTTAAAATATCACCTTCACTCAGGTTGCAGAGTTGAATCAAAGCAGAGACTGTTTGCCTCATTTTGGTAAGTAAGAAGCTAAGCACCAGTGGGACTTATAGAGCTCCTTCAGCTAGAAAACTTGGGAATTTGAGACCAGGGTCTGCAGTTCTTCTCAGCCTCTAACAGACCTCCTTTCCCCTACTCCAGATCTGAATCTCCCTCAGATGGTATGCCCATTGTCTCAGCAAAATGCCAGCCAGGTAGCAACATGTGGCCTAATGTAGTAATCAAACTTTTTTGTTTCATCAATATTTTTTTGTTTTGTACACAATTTCAAGGACTTCCAGACAGCAACCTTTATTCATGGAACCCCTTCGGGACCCATTATTAAGTTATGATATCATAGTCTAAGTAATAAGTCTACCAATTAGAACACAAATAAGTAGACAAATTCACTCCAGTCATAGGAAAAAGTAATCCTTCAAGAAATATCTACTGAATGCTCAGGTAAGGGCTCAGTGTAGCTGAATCTTACCTGGATGTGTCTTGCAGGTTTATTGAACTGTGTGTAAGTTGCTGACCTATTTGTTAGTAGTTATTATTGTATAGTCTCTTACAAATAGAGAAAATTTCTCAGAAATAGTAATATTTATGGCATTACTAACAGAGTCCCCCACGTACTTGAAGGTAATATTGATTTTCTGGACATGAAGGTCTGAACTTCCAGTCATTTGGGGCTTGGTTTTGTATTGAAAACATTGATTTTCTCCAGAATATACATTCTCTGATGCATCCCCACATTGTAACTGAACTCTCAAAGATTTTGATAATTTATCAAACAATATATTAAATGGGCAAAAGCTACAAATGCATTTATAATCATCGC